GGGGAAGAAATGGGGAGCTGCTATCAGGGGCTCAAGTGGGAAGCGAATGCTTTGAAAATGATGATGGCGCCATATGGGCAAATGTGCTTGACACATTGGAGGAATGTACGGATTATGATAAGAGATGTAAGAGCCCCCAATAAGAGTATTTTAAAAAGTAAAATAAAACAAAATCAGAATTGAATTAAAAAGAAACGAAGCTACCCGCTCTTGTAAAGATTCGCAGCCGTGGGAACCTGGTATAGGGTGACTATGAGTCAGAACTGACTCGATGGCAGGAGTTGATGGTTTGGCGTTTGGAAGATGCTACATAGAGTCGCTACAAATTGGAATTGAGTGAATGGCAGTAGGCTTCATTTGGATTTGGAATAATTAATAAAAATGTCTTAAAAATTAGAAGAACATTAAAAAGCAACAGAGAAAGTTGAATAATTGACACCAGTCTGGCAAAATGATATTGAAGGTGAGTAGTAGCTACATGGAAGAAATTCCTTGAAGTTACTATTTTGAAAGTTTTCATAATAAAGTTTTTTTGGGGGGGGGGTATAAAAAGCACAGACCCAGCAGCTCAGCCCTGTCCTTGCCTTCTGGCTTGGCAAGAGGAGGCGACTCAAAGGGGTTGGGTGGGTGGGGTGGTGACTTAGTGTGAGTATGGGAGCAGGGGTCAGGCACAGTTTCACTCACCGGTATAGGCTCTTCTCTTTGTCAATTACCTCGGTAGCCACTGGCCCTGTGGGTCCCCAGAAGTCATCATCCGTCCCCAGAAGCTCCGTGTGTAGCTCCCTCCAGGGGGCGGGAGAAGGCTGACAGAAGGGCTTCCCTTCAGCTGCTCGTGAGGAGCTTGCTTCTGGAACAAGAAGGGTAGTGGTTAGGGTTAGGTTCTGCTTCCTGGCCTCTCCCAGGTCCCTCCAGTTAGCACCTCTTCCCAAGGCTGCATCTACAGGTCCTACCCCTGCTCCTGGCTGCCCATCTGATCGCCGAGGAAGCCCAGCCTCTGCCCACCTCCCTTGTCTACTGGTCCAGGAGCATGCTCTTCTCAGGAGGTTCCAGGCAGGTAGGTTGAAAGAGCAGGAGGAGGGCAAAGATCCAGGGGTCAGAGTGAAAAGGTGGTTGCCGGTTGGCAGTACCCCAGAAAGCACCTGGGAATGTTGAGCTCCAGGCCAGAGTCTGACACATGCCATAGACATTCTGGGGAGGAGCAGCACTAACCGAGGCTGGGAGAGAGGGAAGCAGAAACCCTGCCAGATTCTAGTAGTAAGGATTTCTCAAGAGGAACAGCGGCAGCTCTCTCATCTTGAGTTGGGATGAGGGGAGGACAGGTGCCAGTCTCACCACAGGCACAAGGCTCCCAGCCCAGCCCCGTCAAACTACCTGGTTCTGATCTCTGCCGCTTGAGCGAGGGTGTGGTGTTGCTCATCTCTCCCCCATCTGGGTCTTCATTAGGGGCCGTCACACTTTGCTTCCTAGAAACAGAACTGTGTGTTCTCCCTGAGGCCTGGGAGGGGCCTGGGCTGTCTACATAATACCCTCACCTCAAATTCAACTCATCTGACTTAGAATTGATGGCTCCCACCCCAAGCCACTCCCGTAACCCCCATCTCTGTGGATATCCCGCCATCCACCCCACCATCCATGCCAGAACTGGGGGTGGGGGGGTGGTCCTAGCTGATAGAGTACCTTGGTGGTACCTCCAGGATAGCTCTACTTCCTATTCACATTTCACCACCTTCATGGACCGCCCCCACCCCCCCACCCCCCACTCGTCATGGGCTCCGTCAAGTGCAGGCTGTAGGTTTTAACCCATGGCCACATCTTCTTAAAGACCTCCCTGCTCCACTCATGTCTTAGTCTAGTCCATTTCTACACAGAAGCTGACCTTAAAATATGACGGACCACATCACTTGGTTGCCAGACTCCATGGCTTTTAAGGTAGAATGAAAAGTTCTTTTTTAAAAAAACTATTTATTTATTTATTTAAA